CTTCAGATGAGTAAAGAAAAAATAAAATTAGACTGTAGAGATTTGCCACAATTCAAACTATTTACCTTAATTCATAAAAATATCTAATTCAATCACTGGAAAAGTAACAAAACAAAAAGAACAGAACATTTTACCTTGAAATTCAGTATACACAATAATTCATCACAATTCATTTAAAAGAAGGTTACTGATAAGCATACTGTAGAAAGTTCTTGGTTTAATTGATAAGCCTAGGAATTTACCCAAAATTTATTTCGGGACACAAACTGTACACATATTACCATACAATTATTTTCTACAATGTTAAGAATAAACAGGCTATATAGGAAAGGGTTTTAAAAAAGTCATTAAAAATGTAAAAATCAATAAAAACTTATTTTATTCCATACTCAGTTCATTCAGAAGATTCTTCTTTGTGTGTGTGTGTCAGAGTCTCAGAGTGTTACTCTGTCACCCAGGCTGGAGTGCAGTGGCATAAGAATAGTTCACTGCAGTCTCAATCTCCCAGGCTCAGGCAATCCTTTCACCTGGGACTACAGGTGTGCACCTCCATGCCTGGCCAATTTTTGTATTTTTTGTAGAGATGGGGTCTCACCATGTTGCCCATGCTGGTCTTAAACTCCTGGGCTCAAGCAATCCTCCCCCTTTGGCTTCCCAAAGTGCTGGGATTACAGACGTGTGCCACAACGCCTGGCCAGATTCTTCTTTTTGACAGTCAGTGGAATGTATTACATACTAAAAATAACACCATATTTATGCACAAATAAATTAATTTTTCCAGTAAGAGCCAATCTTCCTTTAAGAAGATTTCCCACATATTCACAGTACATAATATCACAGAACACCCATATTTGGCCTAAATGTCTCTGAATTGTAGCATTACAAGATGGAAGTTCATTGTGTCTGATAATTTGATTGAGTTTTGCCCAAATGTCTTCCAGAGCTTGGTTGTTACAAATAGTGTGTTCTATTGTCCATCTTGCTCTATAAAGTGAATGTAAATTTAGTGCCTTTAAACTATCTTGCAATTTTTTAGACAAAGGAAAAACCTTTTCAGTACAACTATTGCTGGGAAGTGATACACTCCAAGACCTTTCATTGTGTTGTTTTCTTTTTTCTGCTTGTTTATTCAGATTTTCGGAATTAGTCTGTTCATTCAGTGTATGTAAGCAGATTAAGTGCTGCTTTTTCAAACTAGGTTGAAATTCCAACAGATCTACTGTACAATCATAACTCTGTGACTTAACATCATGTTCTGAAATGGTTAAGTACTGTTTCATATCTTCTGCTGTCTCTCCAGAAATCAGAGGTGGTGATCTTTTAGGTTTGAGTGGAAGCTTGGACCCATCATGTGGAAACCATGGAATAAATCTTGATAGCGGACGAGTAGGAAAGTCTTGAATTGCTTTTTCTGCAATTTTTAGCAGTTGTGTGGGATCACTCACATATGGTCGATAATGTAATATTACTTCTGTCGTCATTCTGCAGCAATCCAGTTACTCTTAATGAAGAGAAAATTTCTTAGCTGAGCTCCTCAGAGCTAGAATGTAATTTATTATTACAAGATTGTCTCTTGCCAAATCAGAGGGAAACAGGACCTAAAGTGAAAGTATTGCAAAAAATAAGATATGGTAGGGATCCAATCCCAATATGATATTTTACCAAAGTGCTATTGGTAAATATAAGTGTAATTCACAAATCTGAAAATCCTTTCTCTCACTAAAATAAGGGATCTGAATTAGATGCCCTATAAGATCACTTCCACCTTAAAAATGCCAGTAGTCAACATGCTTAACTCAATAGAAATAAAGGACTTGTAAGTATCAGTATATTAAATAGTAATAATCTTAAGACCACAGTAGAAATAAAGAGTAAATTACTGACTCAAAATAATTGGATTCATATAAAGATAGCAAAAATGTAACATTTAGAAATTTGAAAGAAATTTGTGACATTTAGAATGTTAGAAATGTAACATTTAGAAATTAGACATCTAAATTGTGAACAATATTACTGTACATTTTGATCTATCTGGAAGAAAATGAAGCATTTTATACTTTAAAATTATATGGATTCTACCAAGGAAATATGGAGATAGAATACTTAATGATTTTATCTCATTCCCAGTAGTAAATAGTTTAAGTTTGCATTTTACCCATGCTAGGAACTGATTTTGTGACAAAATCTTCTCTCTATAACCCAGGCAATTAAGCAGTATTGAGACACTGGTGCCATGGCTCCTGAATTCCAATTTGGAGGAGGAATTAAACAAATCTAGACACTTACTTTTTCTCTTTGAACACAGAATCCTGAAGTTGCCCCCAAATTGTGTCACTGAAAACATATAGTACAGTATAAAATGCATAGGCTCAAGAATAGAGACTTCAAGCCAGGCTCAGTGGCTCAGCCCGTAATCCCGCGCCTTTGGGAGGCTGAGGTGTGTGGGCCTGAGCCCGTGGGTTTGAGACCCGCCTGGGCAGGCGAGACCTCATCTCTACAATAAATTAAAAAAAAAAATCAGCCGGGTGTGGTAGCATGCGCCTGTAATTCCGGCTACTCAGAAGGCCGAGGCGGAAAGATCGCCAGAGCCCAGCAGGTCGAGGCTGCGGTGGCCGGGAGCGGCCACTGCACTCTAGTCTGGGCGACAGAGTGAGACTCCAACTCAAAAAAAAAAAAAAAAGAATAGAGACTTCAAAGATTTGCAAGTTAGGCTTCCCTTTTTACTTACTATTAATGTCCACTAACAGATCTGACAACTCTCAAATGCTTAAATATGATCCTTAACATCCATAATTTTTAATATGGCTTTAGATATATTCTTTCAAGAATTAATAATGCATTAATTTTTCTCCCCCCTCTTCCTTACACTTTCAGATTGTAAATATGACACTGAGAATTTTTCCACTGTTAACAGTCTGAACTTATTGTTATACTCAAGAGACAATTTAAGTTGTGAGAGCTTCTTTTAAATAAAAATTTTCTCAGCCGGGCTCGGTGGCTCAGCCTGTAATCCCGCGCCTTTGGGAGGCTGAGGTGAGTGGATTGCCTGAGCCCGCGGGTTCGAGACCCACCTGGGCAACTTGGCGAGACCTCATCTCTACAATAAATCAAAAAATTAGCCGGTCGTGGTAGCGCGCGCCTGTAATTCCAGCTACTCGGAAGGCTGAGGCGGAAGGATCGCCGGAGCCCAGCAGGCGAGGCTGCGGTGGCCGGGAGCGGCCACTGCACTCCAGTCTGGGTGACAGAGTGAGACTCCAACTCAAAAAAAAAAAAAAAAAAAATTTTTCTCTTCAAGAGTAACAAGATAGTATCTTAACATTTCACATATTAAATACAAGAAAGTAAACGTAAATGACCATTTAAAGTGACATATTTGGCACCCAACATGATTAAAATTAAAATGTTTGAAAATTCTTGATTAGGACAATGGGAAAGAATAGTACCAAAGAGGTTTAATAAAACTGAAACTATCAATGAATTTTAATCCTTTTAGGCTGCTTAAGTACTCTTTCCTAGGTATCTTCTGTTTTGAAAAATAAAGAATAACAAAAAACTAAAAATTCCCAGTGGCAGTTGGTCTACATATTACTAAAATTAGTAGCTTCTAATTTGAATAAATCTCACCTACCAGCTAATAGAATTGCTTCAAATTCCCATCAAAGCAGTTAGTCAAGGAATGATCTTTGAAAATGCTGTTTCATTCATTAGGAAGCAACATGGCATCTTGGAAAGATGGAAGCAGGCCTTGTGTTGTTAAATTGCAGCAATTACTTACTGGATATGTGATTCTGGAAAAGTACTTAAACTCTGAGAGATAAGTACTATCTATTCCACATACTTGAAGTGAGATTGAGAGAGAAAGAACATGACATTAGTTCCTTTTCTCACTTCCCCTTTTCTCCATGGTAACAATCCATTTTAGTCAGATCATTTGCTCAAGCTAAACTAACAGGTCCCATCGCTACATTATTTAATATTACAAACGATTTAACATTATTTAATTATTCAGTATTACAATTATTTAAATTAAAATTATTTAATATTACAAGCTTCTCTGTTACACGGAGAAATCTTGTTGACTCCAGCCATCATATGATTTTATGTTACAAATGGGGGAAGCTTCTGGAATGTGTGATGCCTACATCATAATGGGAGGGATAAAGAGTCCCTCAGAATGGATGCCTTAAGTAAGGTAAGAGCAATTCAACCGAATTCAAATGTCGATTTAGAGCATTTCCTCAGCTCAGTGCAAGAAAGTATTGTCAACTACATACTAGCGCCTCTGAGAAATAAAAGGTGCATTTGTTGTAGTAGAAAATAAATGAAACGGCTGAAAACATTTCAAATAAAAGGTTTTCGGAAAATAGGTAAGCATTTCGAAAAAAAATCTGTCCCGGTGTTTCCTAAATAATGATCTAATTAAGTAACCAAAGTCAAAATTGCCGAGTACAAAAAAATTAATGTTGACGTGAGATTTTAGACACATTTCCCACATACACAGTTCTCCGAAGTAATCCGAAGTATGTTTTAACAAATCTACGTTATGTGTTGTAGTACTACGTACTGTTAAATCCTTGACACTGCTGTCATGCGATACTAATTGTGCAGATAAAGCGGAAGCCCAATAACTTCGTCAGTGCCACACTAAGAGACAAGAGAGAGAGGGAAAAACCACTTCAGTTGCTGGCTGTAATTCATCCTGGCTTACAGAGCTCTCTCTTCAGTGGGACTGGACGTCAGTTTCTGCGGCTAAAATCGGGTGATTGCGGCAGCACAGATCAGAGTGACTGACCAAGTTATCTACTTCATTCTAGAAGGCGGCTCTTAAACCTAAAAAAGCAAAGAGGCGAAAGCGCTTCCTTCCACTGGGCGCCAAGAGACAGAGCAGGAGGGCGAGCACTGGGTGTTTAAGAAGGTCAAGGCCTACAAGGCAAAGGCTTTAGAAACAGAAAAGGGAAGCAAGCAAAATAGGGAGACTCAGGTTCGCAAAAAAAGTTTACCTTTCAGCGCCAGCAGGTGCTCCTGTTTGGGGGGATTCACTTCCATTTTGGCCGGCACTTTGGACCCGCTGCCTACGGGGGCTCAAGAGGTTCAACTTGGCCCGGAAGCGGACAATCACCGCGCGTGCAGGAAGGCCGGGCGTCAAATGTACTCACGACAGCTTCTCTCTGCTCTTGGTACCTTTAATTCTCTTTTGACAAAGACCTTTACAAACCCAACGGCTTCTTTTCACCAGCCCATCCCTTGTCTCTTATACACAAAATATTCTGTTTCCCAAGTGCAATCACACATCGGCGACTGCAAGAAACCACAGCTCGGCAACAGTACCCAGGTTCCCAAACGCCTACATTACACAAGTGAAAAGAAGCGAGCGGCATGCTGGGATTTGTAGTTTATACAAAAATCGCATTGCATGCAGGGAGATGATGCCGCACCCTGCCCCCGCCACTTTATACCCCAGCTGGAATGCAATTGGAGAAGTCATTCCAGGAGCGGGAGCTTCACTCCAGAGCTCTAATTCTGTCTTACCCTCTTTTTTCCCCTTAACTATCTTTCCTCCACCCGTTTCAGACTCAATAAAAAAATAACTGCCTCTGCGCAAGGCCGTGCAACCACACGGCCAATGGCTGACGGGGGGAGGAGCGAAGAGGTCGTCGGAGCGGCGCCCCGGGCCCCACTGCGCCTGCGCGCCAGCGGAGCGCGCGGAGACCTCTGGGAAGGCGGCTCGACTCCGCCTCTCAGTTGAGGGCTTTGGAGGCCGCATCTGCTGCGCCGCTCCTCCCACGATGGCTACCCTGGTGGTAAACAAGCCTGGAGCGGGACTAGACGGCGGCCGGCAGGGCAGTCGAGGGGCCGCCGTGGTGAAGGTGAGGGACCCCGCGTGCTCTGTTCTGCACCATCGGCCTCCCTTCGTTTCATCCTGGAGACCTGGCGGCATTGCCGCGGCCCAGGCTTCCATGGGCCGAATGCGCGACTTTGGGGCCCCTTTTGGCTTTGCAAGTCTTGCCCTCCCTCCCCTCCGCGACCTTTATTCCCGTTAGCCTGCACTTGTCTGGTCTTCTGCTCTTGACAGATGTCAACGTCGGGACGTTTGTGAAAAGGGGGCTTGTGAACCTGTGGGAGGGACCTGGACTGGTCTTTAAGCTCAACAGGCGTTAATTAGCTTATTTTAAAAGTATAAATTGAGCTATTATAATGGGAAGGCATTAAGTTAGATGTTTCAGCTCGTTATCTACGTATGAGGTGGTGGTTAATTCCCATTTTACCGGGAAGAAACCCAGGTTTAGGGTAACACAGGGTGTGACAGAGCCCAGGGTTGACTCCATAAAGTCTATGCATAAAGTCTGTGCATCTTTTCACGAATGCACCAGTTCTGTAATCAGACATCTATTATTGGTTGAGCTGCCCTCTCCCCCTTTAGTAGTACAGTCTATCAACACTTTTCAGAAGTCTCCAACTGCATCATATTGAGCGTTAACACTGGGCTAATGCTTGAAGTTTGAGAGTCTACCATGCATAAATGCTTCAAAATGAATTTATTTTTTAAAAAAAATACGTGGAACTCATTTTTTTTCTTCCCCTGTATGTACAGAAAACTCTCGAAGGGGGAGGATTGATCAAATTGGTTCTTAGAGTAACCTGCAGGATCAGCTATAATCTAGGAGATGGGTAATTCTCATTTTTGTCTACATATCCACTGAGGACTTTTTAAACACTACTGATGCACTCCTCTGCCTCCAATTCTGATTAGGTTACCATCAGTAAAATCCAGAAGTGATTTTAATGTGCAACCAGGATTGAGAACCACTGACCCAGATAACACCAGAAGTTATTTTAATATCATGAATAATAGACACCTATGATTTTTCGCTTAATATTGGTTTTACTTTAATATTGGTGGTTGTTGATTTAATTGACTCTTATATACTAATAAAGTTATTCTGAAGATACACAGCATGTCTGAGATGCAGAGGAACCTTCATTATTAGACATGTTGTGTAGTTAGATTTTATTTGTTGAATTGTACTTTTGCTAAGTAGAGGATACCTGCAGAATGTTTTGTAAATTAACTTGAAGCTTAAGAAGTTTGATTTTATAACTGAAATCGGCATCATTGTAGTTTCCATTTTTGTTACTTTGTCTTATAATCTCAAAAGTGTACCAAAGCCTGATGTGACTCCAGTTTGTTACAGCACAGATTTTGATATATTAGAGGCTCACCCTGTATATTTTCATTTTAAAATACAAAATGTCCCTGAGTTGTGAAATAATACAGTTCTTTTTGACAAGTTTATCATGACATAATTTGCAGTGGGTATGGAGGGATACATTTTTTTAAAAAGTCTCATTGTCTTTTTTATAGATGAAAGCAAGAAGTACTTATTGGAAGGTAAAGATTGAAGTATGTAATGCTAACACTGTGTAAAATGACCTCTTGCTTAATGAACAAATAGATAATGATAGAATTTTTGATCATTAGGAAAAACAAAGGCACAAACATCTGATATTGTTAAATAATTTACATTTATTATTATTACTTTTGATTTGAAGTATCACTCCGTCGCCCAGGCTGAAGTGCGGTGGCACACTGTTGGCCACCTCAGCATCGACCTGCTGGGCTCCAGCAATCCTTCTGCCTCAGCCTTTCAAGTAGCCTAACTACAGGAGTGTGCTACCATGCCCGACTAATTTTTTATTTATTTATTATAGAGATGAGGTTTTGCCAAGTTACCCAGGCTGGTCTCGAACCAGCAGACTCAGACAGTTTATTCACCTCGGCCTCCCAAAGTGCTGGGATTACAGGCTGAGCTACCGAGCCTGGCCAAATGATTTACATTTAAAAATGAATCACAGAGTTTATTTTACTTAGTGAGCCTTCTTAGTCTTTTAAAAATATAATCTGGTTTGTTAAAATTTGATTTACATGTAATAAGTTTGAAGGTTTCTTTGGCTTTTTTGCATCCGCTTTTGATTTACTGATCGATGGAATTGTATTAGTGCTTTTTAAAAAAATCTATAGTAGCAACATGAATAAGTTCTTTTGTATAGTCATGGGGTCAGAGATATATGATATAAATAAACTAAATAAAATTTTAATATAGATAATATATATCAGTTTATTGTCAAACACATTTACGATAGTATCACAATAATGAGAACATTTATTAAATGTGTTTATATCTGATTATGTTGTGAATATCTTTTCTGTATTTAATTGAATTTGATAAAGTAAAACTTTTTTCTTCCCGTTATAAAAAATTAGGATAAATTGAAATATGTATATATGTGTATAGTAGATATAATTTATGGTTCACTAGCTGTTTCTTTATCTCATAGGGAGTCAATGTTTCATTGTCATTGGTGTCTTACACATCTTTCCAGAAAGATAGTATACTTACATAGCAACATGTAAAAATATTTACTCTTTCCCCACTTTTATGTAAAATTAGTATATTCTGTTTATTACTTTTGCTATACTTTTATCATATAAAATCATTCTATGTGTGTATACAAAAAAAATTCTTAAGTCTTTCTCACTAGCCTATATAAGTTTACAGTATATGACTGTGCCATAATTTATTTTCCAGGCTGATTTTGATGTACATTTACTTTGTTTCCCATCTTCTACTAATGCAAGTGGTGTTGTAAAGAATAACATACACCCTTGTATGATATACTTGTAGGATACATTTCTACTACTGGATTCACTGAGTTCTTTAAACTTTAGATAGTTATTGCCAAGTTGCCTTCTATACAGGCCGTATCACTCAATAAACTTTTCATAGCAATCAATAATGTATGAGAGTGACTGTTTTCCCACATCTTCACTAAAACAAAGTGTTATCAACCTTTTTAAAAAATCTAATCTGAGAAAAAGTGTGTTGATGTAGCTTTAATTTGCAATTTTCTTATTGTAAGTTGGGCTGAACATCTTTTCATATATAGTTGTTTTCATCTGCTTTTATGTGAGTATTGTTCATTTAAGTTTCTTTTGAACAATACTAGGATGCAAGGCAATTATGAATTATCACTTTATTTATGGTGAAAAATGTTTCCATCACAAGCACTAAGTCCAAATTGATTGCCGAGGCTGTTTAAAATGTAGTAGATTTAGTCTGATTTCTACTTTGGGTTTCCTTTTTTTTAACCTTGTGTTTGATGGTGGTGAACTGAATTGTTTTTAAATTCTTATTTTGTTGGGCTTTATATAAGCAAATAAGTGCTTGGTATTTGGAATACCCTGTTCCTGAGGGATCTTTGGTCTAACAGGAAAAGTCAGGCTGGAAAGCCAGTAAAGGTGTTAAAGGGTTTCGGTGTTATGGTAGACACTTATCCAAAGTACATGCAGGCCCAAAGGATAGTGTGGTCATTTCTTCAGTATTAACATAAAGAGACACGAAACACTGTCATATTCTGGAAACTATAAGCTGTTGGATATACTTGGAGCTTAGGATCTGAAGGGTGTAGCAGTGAAGCAATAGGACAGGGTCATATTGTAGCAGGCTTTGAATGGCAGACACAGGAGTCTGGGGTATAATTGAATAGTACAGTGTGTGTACTTTAAAAAAATTATTAAAATTGTAGGCCGGGCATGGTGGCTCAAGCCTGTAATCTCAGCACTTTGGGAGGCGGGTGTGAAAGGATTGCCTGAGCCCATGGGTTCAAGACCAGCCCGGCAACATAGCAAGACCTCATCTCTACAATAAATCAAAAAATTAGCCTGGTGTGGGAGTACGCCTGTACTTCCAGCTACTTGGAAGCTGAAGCAGAAGGATTGCGAGAGCCTAGCCGGTCGACTCTAGGGTGGCTGTGAGCGTGTCACTGTATTCCTGCCTGGGTGACCGAGTGAGATTCCAACTCAAAAAAAAAAAAAAAAAAAAATTTATGAACACTACAGATGCACTTAGAAATAAGCACTGGAAATGCTTTATTGCTATAAATACAGTTTGTTGACAGTTTATAAAATATAAACTCATGGACTCGAGAATCAGAATATGCCAGTTCTTTTTTTTTTTTCCCTTTGAGTTGGAGTCTTACTCCGTTGCCCAGGCTGGAGGGCAGTGGCACACTCCTGGACACCGCAGCCTCTACCTGCTGGGCTCAGGCTCTGGCTACCATGCCTGACTAAATTTTTGATTTATTGTGGAGATGAGGGCTCCCCAAGTGGCCCGGGTGGGTCTTGAACCCCCGGGCTCATGCAATTCACTCTCCTTGGCCTCCCAAAGTGCTGGGATTACAGGCTGAGCCACCTGACCCTGGCTACTTTTTGATTTATTGTAGAGATGAGCTCTCGTCAAGTTGCCCAGGCTGGTCTCGAACCTGTGGGCTCAGGCAATCCTCTCACCTTGGGCTTCCAAAATGCTGGGATTATAGGCTTGAGCCACCACTCCTGGCCGTGAATATTGCCAGTTCTTACAGCCTTTTCTTTTGACAGACTGGATGGTCTTGGGCAAGTCATGTACCTATAATTAGAACTAGATAGACAAAATGTTTTCTAACCCAGATCTGTATTTATTAATAGAAAGCAGGAATTGAAATTTAAGATGATTGCTTTTTTGCTTTTCCATTATTTGATGTAAATGGATACTAAAAGATACTTGAAATACTTGTAGTCTTTTCTTAACAAGTTCTTTATTATTTACAGGGATGATTGTCATCTCGGCACATACTTTAGATTATTTTTGTCAAAATTAATGACGATTTATTGGGGGTTAGGTAGTTTAGAGAAATTGCTTAAGAACCTAGCTTTGGTAGAATTATATATTGTCTTTACAGATTCAGATGTAATGAATCAAATCATAATTTTCAAAAGATAAAGATGATGTTAGTTCATAACATCTTTATCTCTAACACTTAGTGTTTCAAGTATATTTCCCTATGATATAATTTTGATAGGGTCTGTCAGATGGAATGACTAAAAAGAAACTTAAGGTTTTATAACCTGGACAGTTTTTTTCATGGAGGAATAAAGTAGCAATATTGATTCAATATATTATGTCAGTTTTTTAAAAACCTAAAATGTGTGCTTTTAAAATTATTTAAAGACCTATGCGCCTACCTGAATTGCACCCCACATCTTCAAAACAAAATAAAAAACAAACAAAAAAAACAAAAATACCCCAAAATTGGCTTAGCCAAAAAAATTGTTTAAAGAACACATATTTCCTTTTCAAATATTAGGTGCTGGAGTGTGGAGTTTGTGAAGATGTCTTTTCTTTGCAAGGAGAGAAAGTTCCTCGCCTTCTGCTTTGTGGCCACACAGTCTGTCACGACTGTCTCACCCGCCTCCCTCTTCATGGAAGAGCAATCCGTTGCCCATTTGATCGACAAGTAACAGACTTAGGTAGGAAAATTATTTTGATAGATTTAAGATTGAAAATTCTTCGTGTAATACAAATGTCATAGAAAATAATTTCTTTCCATTTGATTTTTGAGATGATAAAATTACAAGGAGATTCCAGAAAACCTAAGTTTTTATTTAGGTCAGTGGTCTTCTAATTGTATTTCATTCATCTTCTAAAATGTTTATATTCAGTACTTATATGTGAAGAGCTTTAAGATACCTGAGAAAAACATGCTATCCTTATTCAAAAAAATAAGAATGTTCATTATAGAGGAAATAATTTGCCTGAGGCCATTAATCCAATAAAACAGTGATTTATATATAAATGAATAAGCCATAGTGAAAATCCAAATAAGTCATTTGCATCTTAGCATTTTTTTTAAAACTAGTATTAGAGATAGATGTGTTTGTGGCTTATGATAACTATTCCTTTTTTCTGTTGAAATGAGTTAAACAATTTTGTGGATTTGTTTCCGTTTGTTGTATAAAGAGTTTCGGTGCTGGGTATGGTGGCTCACACCTGTAATCCCAGCATTTTGGGAGGCATAGGTAGGAGGAATTCCCTTGAGATCAGGAATTTGAGGTCAGCCTGAGAGACATATCCAGACCCTGTCTCTACAAAAAGTTAAAAAAAAAAAAAGCTAGGATGTAATAGTTCCTATCTGTATTGTAGTCTTAGCTACTCAGGAGGCCAGGAGGCTGAGGCAGGAGGATTGCTTGAGACCAGGAGTTAGAGGCTGCAGTGAGCTATGATTGTACCACTGCACTCCAGTCAGGGCGACAGAGTGAGACCCAATCTCGAAAAAAGTTAAAAAACAACAGCAACACCAACAACAGAGTTTCAGGTTGCTACTTTTTTTCAAGTCAGTAGCACTATTTAAGACTGTTTTAATGTATTCATACTGTATGTCAAGTGTGCATATAAAGGAAGCAAGATTACCTATATTTTTAGGCTGGAAGACTTTAAAATGCTAAGAAACATGGTTTTAAGATGTTTTCTTATAGGGATGGAATAATTTTTTTTTAGGTTTTGTTGGCCTTTGTTATAAATAAGTAGTATGTCTGCCTGACAACTAATATAGGACAACGGTAATATTGTTATAGATAACATTAACTTACTGGTAGCCAAGAAATAACAGATGTGGGGGATAGGATATCTGTTTTGAGGTTCTTTTATTTGGTCTTTTATTCTGTAAGGTATACATGTATCATACCATTTCTTTGTATAAAACTATACTTTTAGAAATAGTAACATTTTGAAGAGTTCTTTACTTTCTCTACATTATTGCCTTAGTGTGAAGAGCTACAAACCCCAGTGTTTAACTAATTAGAAATTCATGATAGGGAGTAGACAGTCAAGAATAGCTTGAAATCAAATATGACTGCTATCACATCAACATTAGAAAAAACAATTCTGCCTTAGAGATTGTAATTACTATATCTCGTAGGTTAGATTTTTACTGTGATTCCAGTCTGTGGAATATGTGTTCATGATATAGTTGGATTTCATTTTTTAAGAAAAATCTACTTTTAATTGTATTATAGAAATAATGTATATATACATTGTAGAACATTTGCTAAAAATAGAAAGAAAGGAAAAAAATCATTTGTAACTCTTGAAGAAAACTACCATTAATGTTAAAGATCCTCATTGGAAATCTTGACTAGTTCCAGAAAAATGTCAATGGTTATCAGTACTGTTCATCAGTATTGTGGTTCTCTTCTTCTGTCCGTATGGTGAAATTATACTTTCTTGCACTCAAAGTTAGGTATGGCTGTGTGATTTCCATTTAGCCTGTGGAATGTGAGAGTGGAAGTGAAGTGTTAACTTTCAGGTAGAAGTCGTTAAGAGTAGGTATTATGATAGTTCAAAGTAAATCCTTCTCCTTGGTGCAGTTGGTTGGAGGCTCCGTAACCAGTGTCCCTGACCATAGACAGTGGGAAACAGTCTCTCTTGTCTTCTCTAATCCCTGAGATGTTACATGAGCAAAAAGTAAATGTTGTGTTAAGCCATAGGGGTTTAGAGTTGTTTTGACAGTAACAGAGTTATTGAGTGATGTATTGGTCAGTGCCTAGACACTGCTATGAGTTTGTTTGTATGTGTTCATTATATAATAACTGAATATTTAGCAAATTGTTAAAACTATATTTTTTAATGGTCATTTAGTGCCCTTGACCTTTACACAGATAGAACTCGGCTTCTTTTAGAATATGCGTTAAAAATTAAGTAGGCCTTGTGGGGGCAAAGCTGAGGGAGAAATACTTGGTGGACCGTTTAGTGGTGCTTGGGGAAAGGAGGTCACAGAAGTCAGAGGGGAGGATAAATATATTTAGTCTAGTTTTTTTGGAGAACTACAGCAAGAAATGACTTTAAAAAAAATGGAACACAGAGGAAAGGGAGTCCCTCAGGCAGCAGCCCTATCATCCTTTTATGTATTTATTCATTCAGCAAACATGTATTAGGTGGCAACTATGTCTGATGGTATTTGTTAATAGAAGCTCATAACAGATATTCCTTCTGACTGTTGAAGGATTTTTACAAGTTCAGGAAGAGTTTGTGTGTGTGTATGTGTTGTCCTAAGTTGCAATGTAAAGTCAATTTTTTAAAGAAATTTTAGATTCAAGGTGTACATGTGCTAGTTTGTTACATAGGTATATTATGTGTTGGTAAGGTTTGGGCTTCTCTTGAGCCCATCACCCAGGTGGTGATCATAGTACCCAGTGGGTGGTTTTTCAACTCTTACCCCCCTCCCTTTCTTTTCCTCCCCTTTAGGAGTCCATAGTGTCTGCCCTTCCCATCCTTATGCCCATATAAATTCAGCATTTAGCTCTCACTTATAGGTGAGAACATGTGGTATTCAGTTTTCTGTTTTTGTGGTAATTCACTTGGAACAATACCTCCATGTTGCAACAAAGAACATGATTTTGTTCTTTTTTTATGGGTGCATAGTACTGTCAGTAGAATATCTGGAATTTTTCTTATGCCGTCCATTGTTTGTGGGCACCTATATTGGTTCCATGTTTTTTCTGTTGTGAATAGTGCTATGACAAACATATGAGTGCAGGTGTCTCTTTGGTACAAAAATTTATGTTACTTTGAGTAAACATCAATAATGGAATTGCTAGGTCAAATGGTAAATCTCTTTTTAGTTTCTTTGAGAAATCTCCAAACTGCTTTCCTTGGGGGCTGAACTAGCTTATATTCCACCAACAGTGTATGAATGTTCCCTCTTCTCTGCAACCTTGCCAACATCTATTGTTTTTTGACTTTTTAATAATAGTTATTTTGACTGGTGTGAGATGGTATCTCATTGTGACTTTGATTTCCATTTCTCTGATGATTTGTGATGTTGAGTATTGTTTTATATTTGACCACTTGTATGTCTTCTTTTGAGAACTGTGTCTTTTGCCCACTTTTTAATGTTTTTTTCCCCTTTTGATTCATTTATGCTCCTTATAGATTCTGGATATGAAAATGTTTTCTCTCATTCTGTAGATTGGTTTACTCTGTTGATGGTTTCTTTTGCTGTGCAGAAGCTTTTAGTTCAATTAGGTCTCACTTGTCAATTTTGGTTTTTGCTACATTTACTTTTGGGGACTTGGTCATGAATTCATTGCCTAGGCTGATGTTCAGGAGAGTAATTTCTAGAACTTTCTTTTAGAACTTTTATATTTTATGGTCTTATGCTTAAGACATTAATGCATCTTGAGTTAATTTTTGTATATGGTAATTTGTAGGGCGTTGAGTTTCATTCTTCCTCATTCCTTTGTACTTCATGACTAGTTTTCCCTGTACTATTTGTTGAATAGGACTTCCTATTCCCATTGTTTGTTTTTGTCAACTTTGTCAAAGATGAGTTGGTTGTAGGTTAGCAGTTTTATTTCTGGGTTCTCTATTTTGTTCCATTGGTCTATACAAGTATGCGTATTTTTGTACCAGTTCCATACTGTTTTGGCAACATGATTCCTCTGGCTTTGTTCTTTTTGCTTAGAATTACTTTGGCTATTCAGGCTCTTTTTTGCTTCTGTATAAATTTAAATATTGCTTTTTCTAGATCTGTGACAAATGATGCTAGTAGTTTGATAGGGATTCAGTTGAATCTGTAGATGACTTTAGGCAGTGTGGATATAACAACATTGAGTATTCTCGTCCACAAACATGGAAGGTTTTTCCATTTGTTTGTGCCATTTTTTATTTCTTTCAGTAGTATTTTGTAGTTCTCATTGTAGAGATCTTTCACATCTTTGGTTAGATGTATTCTGAGGTTTTTTTTGTGACTAAGGCCAATAGTATTGTGTTTTTGATTTGCTTTTGAGCTTGTATGGTGTTGGTGCATAGAAATGCAACTGAGTTTTGAGTGTTGATTTTGTATCCTGAAACTTTAGTGAAGTCGTTTAAAGCACTTGTTTTAGTATATATGGTAAAAGTCGGTGACAAAATAGGACTTGTAAAATTAAATGATAAAAAAAATTAATGATTTTAAAGTATGTTTCTACTTGGAATGCTGAGGGGCTCTTCTGTTTTTAAAGAAAACAACAGAGCAATTGTTCTGGCATAAAAGAAAATGGAGAAAGCTTGAATTTATAAAATTTAGACATTAATGACTAAACTATGTGACTTAGAAATTACTTTTGAGGTATGAGGTAAAATGATTAATAGTCCTTTTTGTTAGATTTAATTTTTACTTTTATTTTCTAGGAGATTCAGGTGTCTGGGGATTGAAAAAAAATTTTGCTTTATTGGAGCTTTTAGAACGACTGCAGAATGGACATATTGGTCAGTATGGAGCTGCAGAAGAATCTATTGGAATATCTGGAGAGGTATTGATTGAATTGGTGAAGTATTTGTTATAAGCATGAATTAATTTTTCTTTTAATTTAGAATATTTACCATTATTAGCACAGTATTACCTCATTTACTTCAGCAGGTAGATTTCTAGAAACACAACTTTTCATTACATTACAGTTCTGCAGGCAACACTATTCCCAACAGAAGAAAAGTAGAAATGAAGGTTGAATTCTTTGAAAATAGTATGTCTAAACTTAGTTCTATGTGTAAACTTTATCTTAATTTAATCCTATCCAAGAATAAAGTAAGAAGATTATGGAAGAGTAAGATAGATCTGTAAGCTACATTAGACATTAGAGCAGAGGATGCAAAAATAAGTCAGTCAACAGTAAAACACAATGAAAGAAAGAAAAACTCCATAGAAGAGGTCATTCAGTGTAAAGGCAAATGTCTTAAAGATGGCAGTAGCTATCTTTAGCTATCCAGGCAAATTATTACTATTGAATATCATCAAGAAAAGGCTAAATTGTGTGTTGATGTACTCTCTTCATCCAGACAGGCATATGTCTAGTAAATATTAGAAAAGTTGCATTAACACTGGATTTTAACAATGTAAAAATACATTTTGAGCACTTAAAGAGTTACCTGCATAGCTTATGTAATATAGGACATGGCTTTTTTAGACCGTTCTAGATAAAAAAATATTTTTAGTACATAATAGTTAATGATTTTTTTTTTTCTGAGTCAGAGTCTTACCCTGTAGCCCAGGTTGGAGTGCAGCTCACGGCTACTATAGCCTCAACCTGCTGGACTCAGGCGAGCCTTCCATCTCAGCCTTTAAAGTGGCTGGAATTACAGGCCTATGCCATCACATCTGGCTAATTTTTTTTTTTTTTTTTGGTAGAGACAAGTTCTCATCTAGTTGCCCAGGCTGATTTTGAACCTGTGGGCTTAGGCAATCATCTTGCCTCTGCCTCCCAAAGTGATGGGATTGTAGGCATGAAACTCTGTGCTTGGCTAGATAATTTTTTTTTATGTTCAAGTAAATCAGTGAAATTAAGTTTAAATTGAAACACTCTGTTTTCTAAAATTTTTGCAGTTATTTCCCAAGATGTCTTTATTTCAAAAGATACTACCTAATGTTGAACCTTATGCATTATTTGCTTGTTGAGTCTGGAAATAAAAGACATGAATTTTTTTAATGATACATGTACTTATTTTGCATAATTGCAAGAAGACTGTCCAACTTTGAGTTGTTTTTTTATTGTGGTTATGAATGAAACCATAGCTATATTTTAAAATTTTTATTTCTGAAAAAATTTATACCAAATTTCTCCCCTTCCAATTATGCCCTTTTAATATTCAGCAAAAGTTTTCAATGCATTCTTGATTATCTGACATGTAATTTTTAATCTACTCAAAATGTTTTAGTAATTCCTGAAAATTAGAAATAATATTTAGAAGCTTACATATAGATTTAATTTTTTTATTTGCTTAAATGAGTGGTTTTCTATCATAATGTGTAATAGATTCACCTTGGAGCTAGTAAAATATACTTGTGTATATTAGGAAAAAGTACACAAATCCAGGCTTCACTCACAACCTATTGAAAAAAGAATTTCCTAGATTGGAGCCTGGATATTGGTGTTTTTAAAAGTTTCGCGGTTAATTCTGTTGCATGCCCCTAGATTATCTAAGGAGTATTTGTACCTCTGTCCTTCCAGTACATCATCATGACATGTAATATTTAAAGCAGTGAAAATGTATTAATATCAGATTTTTTTAAAGTCTTAAAAGACTTATAACCTTTCTATGGTTTAATTTCTTGTGTGCAAAGTTAGGGAATTTGGTAAGAGATTTTTGCACTGACGGTGAACCTATGAGAATAGTTTTATTTTGACCTCAAATTCATAACATATTGGTAACCAGTCTTGGAAATCGCTTCTTATTTAGTTATATAAATGAATACATTTTCAGATGAGTTTCTGATGACCTTTGTACTCAGTGATTGTATATTTCCATATATAGAGGCTGACCAGTTAAGCAAAAAAGAGTGTGGGATTCTATATTTTAAAGTTTGTCTTATTATACTGATTGAGTTCACTTTGTTGATCAGAGCATCATCCGTTGCGATGAAGATGACGGTCACATCGCGTCTGTATATTGCACTGTGTGTGCAACTCACTTGTGCTCAGAATGTTCCCAAGTTACTCATTCTACAAAGACATTAGCAAAGCACAGGCGCGTTCCTCTAGCTGATAAACCTCATGAGAAGACCATGTGCTCTCAGCACCAGGTGCATGCCATTGAGTTTGTTTGCTTGGAAGAAGGTTGTCAAACTAGCCCACTCATGTGCTGTGTCTGCAAAGAATATGGAAAACACCAAGGTCACAAGGTATGAATTTAATTATTGGATTAAACTCATTTAATTAATGGATTAAATTGGATGACTCCAGCTGGTTTACTTGCTTTCCATTTGTTTTCACTGACCTGATTCTTTATGCTACAAGTAGGGACTGAAGAAGAGTTAAACTGATATATGAGTTGGGCTTGGCAGCATGAAAAAAAGAGAGATTTAATTTCTCAATGTTCTAAAAGTTTCAGAGTGGCTTCATCATTCTTCCTTTACTAAAAAATAGCTCTCCAGCAGGAAACAAACATGATCTTCTTTGTATGTTTTTGTAATGCACTGGATTATTTTGACAATATTTATGTCTGTTCATGAACTGTTACTTATGGTATCATTTTAGAGACAGTCCCTTGGTTTCTTGTTTAGCAATAATTGAACTTCCAAATTTTAAATTATTTATTTACAGGTTAGTTTCCTTGTGAAGGAGTGAAAGTGAACAAGTATTTTCCTTGATGTGTTATAAAAGTCCCTTGTGTTTGAATTTTTTTTTTTTGTATTAATAGGAGAGATTTAAATAGTTTGTGTCATGAGTCAATACCGGGAATTATTTTCTATAATTATGTTGTATTTTATAGCACTCAGTATTGGAGCCAGAAGCTAATCAGATCCGAGCATCAATTTTAGATATGGCTCATTGCATACGGACCTTCACTGAAGAAATCTCAGATTATTCCAGAAAATTAGTTGGAATTGTCCAGCATATTGAAGGAGGAGAACAAATAGTGGAAGATGGAATTGGAATGGCTCACACAGAACATGTATGGATTTTTTTTCCCCTTCTTTACCTTCTTATTTTTCCTGCTCATATTTTCATTTTCTACTAAGTATTGAGCTTTTGCAATGTGCCAGTACCGCACTAGTCACTGGGAATATGTTTTTGAAAAAAAGCTCTGTCTTCGTGGAACTTGTAATTCATCATAGAAGAGAGATAGTTTCAAATGTGGTAACTATTTATTTTGTGGGAGAGAAGTGCAGGGTGCCTTGGCAGCATATAACGGGGCAACAGTTTATGGAGGTCAGAGAAAGCTTCCTAGAAGTGATGTCGAAAATGTGATTTGAAGGCATTCTCTCAGGGAGAAGAGCAGGGGTAGGGAATGAGTTATTCCAAGAAGGGAAACACACGTTAAAATGTGTGGACGTGAGGATTGGACGTATCACTGTGGTTGGAGCTTTGAGTGTTGACAAAAGCATGGCAAGAAAAGAGGTCAGGCAATTAAAGGCCAATTCATGAAGAATCTTGTTAACCGTGTTGAAGAGTTTGGATTCAGTGATGAGCCACTGAGTAATTGACATAGGAATGACTTAATCAGATTTGCATTAAGAAAAGTTGCTTTTAAATGTAGAATATGAATTGGAGGAGCAAAAAGATTGGAAGCAGGGAGACCTAGTAGGTTGTTATTGAAATTATCCAGTTGAGAGATGTTTATGGCCTACAATGCTAGGGTAGGGAGAATGGAGACAAACAGATGGACTTGAAATTTTAAAGAAGAAGAATTGGGTAGGTTGTAGTGATTGTTAATGTTGATTGGATAGGTAACTTGGAGGGTCAGGCAATTAGGCCAGCCAGGTCAAAAGCAGGTGAGAGATGATAATGACTTGGTTCAAGTTGACAGGCATGGAAATGGTGAGGCAAAGCAAGATGCTGAATATATGAGGGGGACCCAAAAAAAACCCAGAATTTATTTTTAAAATGTGTATTTATTCTTACACGTTTAATCTTCAGTCACCTTCAAAGTACTCTCCATCTGATGCAGTACACCTATCAAGGTGCTTTTTCCACGACCCAAAACAGTTTTTGAACTGTCCTTTTTTTTGAGTTGGAGTCTCACTCTCTTGCCCAGGCTGGCATGCAGTGGCACATTCACGGCCACTCCAGTTTTGGTCTGCTGGGCTCCAACAATCCTTCTGCCTCAGCCTTCTAAGTAGCCGGAGCTTCAGGCACGCGCTACTTTTTTTTTTTTAATTGTAGAGATGAGGTCTTGCCAAGTTGCCCGAACTGGTCTCAAACCCATGGGCTCAGGCAGTCCACTCGCGTTGGCCTCCCAAAGTGCTGGGATTACAGGCTGAGCCACCAAGCTTGGCCAAACTTGTCCATTTTGATGCTTTTTAGTGCTTCTGTCATTTTTTGGTTTCACCTTTTCCACATCAGCAAAACATTTCCCTTTGAAGACTTTTTTCCTCTGGGGAAATAAACAAAAAAGTTGTTCAGAGTAAGGTCAGGTGAATAGGGAGGGTGAGGCATGGGAGGGTGTCTTGCCTTTTTGGGTCAAAAACTGCTGAACACTCAGCACGGTGTGGACAGGTGTGCTCACAAATCACCCATTATGAAATGAGCAAACACGTTGAGGGAATCTCCAAAAATAATGCACTGAAGCTGAACGCAGCTTCTCACAGCAGTGCTAGCTGGTACACTGATACTGATCGGTTCCAGAACACTTAACTAGCAGGGGAAGCCTGTACTATAAGGGGACCACACTCCAAAAAATAATTCAGGTTTTTTTGGGTTCCCCCTCATATTTACAAGTCAGCAGAATTTGCTCAGGGACTAATTGTGGGATATGAAAGAAAGGGTTAAGGATAACTTCAGTTGTGAGGATTTCAGCATCCTGGAGGAGGTAACTGCGTTTGATGGTAGGGGAAACCAGAGACTAGGCATTTTGTTTTGCTTGCGATGTCATTTATAAACAACTGGATATCCAAAGTCTATAGGTGAGGGGATAGATCTAGTGTGGAGAATTAAATTTTGGAATGTAATATAGATGGTATTTAAGTACCATCTAAATATAGGTAGTATAGGTAGTATTTACATTTTCAATATTTCATATATAAAATCTTTATTAAGGTTGTAATTGCTTAAAATTCATTTTTATTTTCTTAGGTACCAGGTACTGCAGAGAATGCTCGGTCATGTGTCCGAGCTTATTTTTCTGATTTACATGAAACTCTGTGTCGTCAAGAAGAAATGGCTCTAAGTGTTGTTGATGCTCATGTTCGTGAAAAACTAATTTGGCTCAGGCAGCAGCAAGAAGATATGACTATTTTGTTGTCCCAGGTTTCGACAGCCTGCCTCCATTGTGAAAAGACTTTGCAGCAGGTAAGAGTTTAAATTTGGTAGGGTTTTAGTTGTAAGACTGAGTAGATGATTAACAGAGGTTTATGCTAGTCTGTTTTATTAATTGAATAAATACTTTGTGTCTGCTGTATGCAGTCACACTGTGCTTAGGACTTGGTCTCTAACCTCAGGTTGCTCCACCATCCAAATTGATGTCCTGTCCTTCACGTGCCCTCCCCACCATAACTTCATGTCACTCTTCAGTCGTGCCCTCTGACTTCATTTCACTTTTCAGGCATGCCAAGTCTTTTCACTCTGCTTTGCCAAGAATATATGTACTATTTTTTCTGCCTGGAGTGCCTGTATTTTTACAGATGCATATTCTGGATTCATCCACTTGTCTCCATTCTCACTATCCTGGTATTATATGTGATAAACATTCCTCAACTAGGTAATTTCAGCAACATCCTAATAGGTCTCCCTGCTTCCAGATTTGTTGCTCCTCCAATTAATTTTCTGCGCTCAAGAGCAACGTTGTGATATAGTGCCTGTATATTTTCTGTCTCCTTTGGGTCCAGCTTAAATCTTTGCTCTTCTTTGAAGTTTTTTTTTTCTTGATCTTTTTTGGGGTTCTTTTCTAGTATGTACTGCCTACCTCTGCTCTAATTCAGTGGTTCTTAACTTGTGTCAAGCAAACACATGTTTTGCAATGGTTAAGGTATCACAAGCAATTTGTTACTGAATTTGCAGATGATGTATTTTTTTGAATAAATAAGATTCAAGGTTATTCTGACAAAAATGTCACACATATTTGTAAAAATTTTTTATTGTATTTTAGAGTTATGGAATACATTTGAGGATTTGTTGTGTAAATCAATTGCATGCAAGTGAGGTTTGGGCTTCTAGTGAGCCCTTTCTCCCCCTGGTAATAGACATAGTGCCTGATGGGTGGTTGTGTGCCCCTCACCTCCTCTTCCCCCCTGCTAGAAGTGCCCACATCAGTTGTTTCTGCCTTTGTGCCCAGTTTTTAGGGCCTGTTTGTGGGTGAGAACATGTGGTGTTCAGTTTTTTGTTCTATGGTAGTTCACTTAGAATAGATAGTCTTCAGCTGCAAAGGACATGATTTTGTTCTTCCTTATGACTGTGTAGTATTTCATAACGTATATGAATGTGTACCTCATTTTCTTTATCCAGTCCACTTTTGATGGGCATCTGAGTTGGTTCCATGTTTTTACTATTGAGAATAGTGCTATAGTGGACATACATACACAGGTGTCTTTTTGGTGGAACAATTTATGTTCCTCCAGGTATATAGCCAGTGAGATTCCTGGATCATATGGAAGCTCAATTTTTAGTTCTTTGAGAAAATACCACACTGCCTTTTACAAAGGGAGAACTAGCTTACATTTCTAACCAACAGTGTAGAAGTGTTCCCTTTTCTCTGCAGCTTCGCTAGCACCTGTTGTGTTTTGACTTTTTAATGATAGCCATCCTGAATAGTGTGAGGTGGTATCTCATTATAGTTTTGACTTGCATTTCTCTGATAATTAATAAAGCTGAGCATTTTTTCTTTTTTCTTTTTCTTTTTTGAGTTGGAGTCTTACTCTGTCACCCAAGCTGGAGTGCAGTGGCATGCTCACGGCCACCCCAGCATTGACCTGCTGGGCACCGGCAATCCTTCTGCCTCAGCCTTCCAAGTAGCCGGAACTACAGGTGCACACTACCACACTTGGTTAATTTTTTATTTTTTATTTATTGTAGGTCTCGCCAAGTTATGCGGGCTGGTCTCGAACCCACGGGTTCAAGCAATCCACTCACCTCGGCCTTCCAAAGTGCTGGGATTACAGGTTGAGCCACCGAGCCTGGCCATTTTTTCATGTTTGGATGTCTTCCTTTGAGAAATGCGTTCATATGCTTTTTAATAGGGTTGTTTTTTTTCTGTCGATTCATATAAGTTCCTTGTAGATCCTGGATGTTAGTCTGTAAATGTGCAGACTCCAGCCTTGTTCTTTTTGCTGAGGAGGCTATTCAGGTTCTCTATTATTTCCATATGAATTTCTGTATTGTCTTTTCTAGGTCTATGAAAAATGATGCTGGAAGTTTGATAGGGATTGCATTGAATCTGTAGATTGCCTTAGGAAGGATGGACATCTTGATGATATTGATTCTTCCAGTCCATGAGCATGGGCTGTTCTTCCATTTGTTTGTGCCATCCTTGATTTCTTTCCTTTTTTTTTTTGAGTTGGAGTCTCACTCCTTCGCTCAGGCTGGGGTCCAGTGGCACGCACGCTCATGGCCACTCCAGTGTTGACCTTCTGAGCTCCATCGATCCTTCTGCCTCAGCCTTTTGAGTAGCCAGAACTACAGACGTGCACTACCATTCCCGGCTATTTTTTATTTTATTGTAGAGACAAGGTCTTGCCAAGTTGCCCGGGCTAGTTTCAAACCTGTGTGCTCAGGCAGTCCACTCGCCTTAACCTCCCAAAGTGCTGAGATTACAGGCTGAGCCATTGAGCCCGGCCTATCCTTGATTTCTTTGAGCAGTGTTTTGTAGTTCTCATTGTAAAGGTCTTTGACCTCTTTGGTTTGGTGGATGCTGAGGTATTTTATTTTTTATGTGGCTACTGTGAATAGGATTGTGTTTTTTTATTTGGTTCACAACCTGCTTGTTGTTGGTGAATACAAATGCAACTGCTTTTTACTTGTTGATTTTGTATTCCATGACTTTACTGAAGTCATTTATCAGTGTGAGGAGGTTTTTGACAGACTCTCTAGGGTTTTCTAGGCATGGAACCATCATCTTAATTTAACTTCCTCTTTTCCTATTTGGATATCCCTAATTTCTTTTTCCTGCCTGATTGCTTTGGCTAGGGCTTCCATTAATGTGTTAAATAGGAGGGGTGAGAATGGGCATTCTTGTCTTGTTCCAGTTCTTAGGGGGAACGCTTTCAGCTTCTGCTCATTAAACGTGATGTTGGCTGCAGGTTTGTCATAGATGGCTCTTATTATTTTGAGGAATTTTCCTTTGATGCCTCAGTTTTCAAGGATTTTATCAAGAACGGATGCTGGATTTTCTTAAATGCATTTTCTGCATCTAATGAGACAGTTGTGTGGTTCTTGTTTTTACACCTGCTTATGTGATGGATTACCATTTGTAGATTTATGTTTTTTGAGCCAGCCTTGCATCCTGGGAATGAAGCTAACCTGATCAGATGGATGATCCTTGAGATGCTGTTGAATGTGATTTGCTAGAATTTTTGCACCTATCTTAATCAGGGAAATTGGCTTGAAGTTTTCTTTCCTTGTTGGACCTTTGTCGTTGTTGGGTATCAGGAGGATATTGGCTTCATAGATGAGCTAGGGAGAATTCCTTCTTCCTCAGTTGCTTGTAATGTTTCTAGAAGGACTGATATCAGCTCTTCCTTGTACGTCTGGTAGAATTCAACTGGGAAACCATCTGGCCCAGGGCTTTTTTTGGTGGAGAAGTTTCTTATAGCTGAGTCAATTTCTTGGATTGTTATTGGTCTGTTTAGGGTTTTGATTTCTTCCTGTTTCAATATTGGGAGCCTATGTGATGCTAGCAATTCCTTTATATCAAGATTTTCTAGATTATTTACATGCAGGTGTTTGCAGTTATCTCTGATAATCTTTTGTATTTCTTCAGGGTTAATAGGATCATCGCCCTTTTTATTTCTAATTGTGTTTATTTGAATTTTCTCTTTGTGTTTGTTAATCTGGCTGGGATCTGTAGTCTTATTTTTTTAAAGAACCAGCTGTTTGTCTTGTTGATCTTTTTTTTTTTTTTTTTGAGTTGGAGTCTCACTCTGTCGCCCAGACTGGAGTGCGGTGGTTGCTCCCGGCCACCGCAGCCTCGACCTGCTGGGCTCCGGCGATCCTTCCGCCTCAGCTTTCCAAGTAGCTGGAACTACAGGCGTGTGCTACCACACCCGGCTAATTTTTGATTTATTGTAGAGATGAGGTCTTGCCAAGTTGCCCAGGCGGGTCTTGAACCCGTGGGCTCAGGCAACCCACTCACCTCAGCCTCCCAAAGGCATGGGATTACAGGCTGAGACACCAAGCCCGGCTTGTTGATCTTTTGTATGATTTTTTTAGTCTCTATTTGTTCAACTGTGATTTTATTTTGATAATTTCCATCTTTCTACTAATTTCATGATTGGATTGCTCTTGTCTTTCTGGCTCCCTTAGGTGCAACGTTAGAATGTTTACATGGGATCCTTCTATTTTCTTGATAGGTGTGTGTAATATTATAAACTTCTTTCTTAGCACAACTTTCTTTCTTTCTTTTTTTTTGTTTTACAAAGCAAGATTTGAATGGTTTGTTCAGTTCAATCGTTTTTAATTATTGATATGTGTGAGTTTGTTTTTGTCATATTACTATTTATTTATTCCTTTCATCTTGCTGTTAAGAGGCTGCTTTGCTTTTTGGTTTTGTGCTTGATTTGTATGGTCTGTAAACTCTGTGCTTGCCTGTACTTTCTGCTTTTGCAATAAGCAGAATAATTCTTTTGATTCTGTACTTAGAACTTTCTTAAGCATCTCCTGGAGGCTGATCTGGAAGCTGCTTATTCTCTTACTGATTGGATGTCTGGGAAGGATTTTAGTTCTCCTTCATTAATGAAGCTTAGCTTGGTGGGGTAGGAAATTCTTGGCTGGAATTGCTTGTCATTAAGAATGTTAAAGATGGGATCCCAGCCCTCTGTGTTGTAGGGTTTCTGGGGAGAGGTCTGCTGCAATTCTAATGGGTCTTCTTTGGTAGTTGGTCCCTTCTCTCTAGCTGCTTTTAGGATTTTTTTTTTCTTTTGTGCCCACCTTATGGAGACAGAATATGTGTCCTGGGGATGGTCTTCTCATGTGGTATCTTAGAGGAGTTCTCTTGATCTCTTATGTCTGCATGGTTGCCTTTCTGGCAAGATAGTGAAAATTTTCTTGATGACCTCTTGGAAGCCTGCTCCAAGGCATTTTCAGTTCTTTTTTTCTCTCAGGGATGTCAGTCAACTGTAGATTTGGTCTCTTTACATAATCCCAGACCTTTTGTAGACTTTGCTCATTCTTCCTAAACTTTTATTACTCATTTCTGTTGTTTGTTCAAGAGTTAGATGAGGTTCTTTCCTCTGTCAGGTTGATTCTGCTGCTCAGGCTTGTCATTGTTTTGAAATTCCAGGAAAGTGTTCATTTCCAGAAGTTCAGATAGAATCTTTCTTATCTTGGCCCACTCAGCTTTCACTTCCTGCACTGTTTTCATTGCCTGGACCATCTGTGTGTCTGTCTTCTCGTTCTTCTTCTTGACTATCTTTGCCACCTCTAGTTTGAATTCTGTGTCATGAGGGCCAAGTGGTTCTGGATGGGTTCCACTGCTTGGGATCCAGGAAGCCCATTTGTAGGTGTTGACTCTTAAGGCTTTGGGGAATGCTGGTGCTTTTTTTTTTTTTGGTCCTTCCTTATCTGTAAAGACTGCCTCTTCTCTTTTTATTTTTTGTTTTTTTCTTTTTGAGTTAAGTAAGGTTGCCACTGTTGCCTGTCCTGCCTCCTCTGGCCTGCCTGTTGGCGGGTGGGCAGCAGTGGCAGGAAGGATGGTGTTCTGGGGATAACCATCTCAAGTTGCTTTACTGGTATTTTATGGCAGAAACAGAAGGACTCTTTCCCCTATTTCAGATTCTAGGTCATCATCCCTGATGTGTTCAAGGAATGGTAAAAGAGGTCTCTTGTGACTGGAATAGAGTAAGTGAAGGGGAGAGTAATAGGAGCTGAAGTCAGTGTTTACTGGGAATTATATGTAAGGAAAATCTTGTGAACCATTGTAAGGACTTAAATTTGTACTGATTGAGTTGAGGGGACCATTGTGGGGTTTTGAGCACAAGAATGACTTGATCTTAAAAGGATCACTCTGGCTGATGTGCATAAAATATATTGAAGGAGGGCAAAGTTGAAAGGAAGGAGTTCAACAGTTAGGCGGCTGTTGTAGAATTCTAGATGAGAGAGAATAGTGACTTGGATAGTGGGGGGTAGAAGTGCCTAGCTTCTGGATATTCAATAGGATTTGTGGACAGACTGTATATGGGACATGAGGGAAAGGGAAAGCAAGAATGACTTCAAGGTATTTGTCCTGAGCAACTGGTACAGTGGCATTGCTGTCAACTAATGTGAATTTCCAGCAGTGAAGAAAAACACGATAGTACTGCTCTCATGATGCTTACACACTATTGGGAGATCTCTTTCATATGAAGTCAGTCTCCTCTCTCTCTCTCTCTCTCTCTCTCTAGATATATATATATATATATATATATATATATATTTATTTGTGTGTGTGTATATATATATATATTTGTGTGTGTATATATATATTCCATATATATATGGAATAATATTCAAGAAACTAGAAACTTCTTGATTTTGAGGAGAAAGCCTGGGAACTTACAGTGAGAGAGACACTTTTCAGTCTGACCTTTGTGCTTCATTATTTAAATGAATACATGTATATCTTAAATTATTTTTTAAAATTTTTTATAGAGGTAGAACATACATACTGCACTGTGTACATAAGTGTTCAGCTGACTGGATTTTCAGACTCATTATTTGTGTGTAACCAGCACCCAGATCAAGTAAGAGAACATTTGTCAGTGCCCCAGAAGTTCCCTCTTCTGGTCACTACCTGCCTTCCCCCGTGAATAAATCACTATCCTAACTTCTAATGCATATCTCATTTTTGATTGTTTTGGCAATAGACATGAAATCACACAGTATGAATTCTTCATGCCATATCTTCTTTTACTCTGCATTAGATTTGTGAAATTCATATCACATGTAGTTGTGGTTTATTTTCATTGTGATATAGTGTTCCATTTATCAATACATTACAATTTATTTATCCATTTTGTTGATAGGCCCTTAAACTGCTCATTAATGCCTAATTATTACCCTGTCAAGTTTGCATTTAAGTTAACTTTGAATACTATAATGTTAAAAGGGCTTTTATTTCAAGTTAGCAATATAAATCTCTTTTCTTATTTATTGAACAAAAAGTTTATGAGAAATACGGTTTTCCCTTTTCTAGGATGATTGTCGAGTTGTCTTGGCAAAACAGGAAATTACAAGGTTACTGGAAACATTGCAGAAACAGCAGCTGCAGTTCACTGAGGTTGCAGATCACATTCAATTGGATGCCAGCATCCCTGTCACTTTTACAAAGGTAATGTACTATACTTTGTTTTTAGGTATGTTTTCTGACAAATTGTAATTGATTTATATCTCATGATAATCAACTTGAAGACATTACTAGGAAATTCATGAGTTATAGGATATAGAAAAACTTTTATCAGTGGAAAATAGAAAGAATAGTATAATGAACCTTCCTGTGCCTATTATCTACTTTAACAATTATAAACTTTTTTCATTCCTTTCCTCCTTCCCTTTCTACCTGCTGACCCCGAGGGTATTTTGAAGCAAAACCCAACATCATATAGTTTCATCTATGAAATATTTTAGTGTGTATCTCCAAAAAAAGGACTCTTTAAAAATGTAATCATTGGGCACAGTGGCACACTTATAGTCACAGCTACTCAGGAAGCTGAGGTGGGAGGACCGCTTAATCTTAGAGTTTGAGGCCAGCCTGTGCGACATAGCAAAATCCCATCTCTAAAAACAAAAATAAAAACACCAAAAAGACCAAAAATGTTTAATAATGAACCTATAATATTTTCACGAATATTTTAAACTATCCAATTAGTATTCAAATTTCCCAGTTTGTTTCCAAAACAGATTTTTAAAAAGTGGGTTCCCCCTGAGTTAAAAAGGTTTGTGTTCCATTTTGCCTTCTTTTTTCTTTTTTAAATTTAATTTTGGTTTATAATTATCTGAAACATTTACATGGTCCAGAGTCAAATCCCCAAAACAAGATTTCTCCAAAGATTCAAAGAAATCTACCTCTAGTCTTTTTAGTTAATTTCTTATAGAAAACCATTTGGAACTTTTTCTTAGTTTTATTCATTATTTTTAAAAAATACAGAGAAATACGTGTATATGTTTTTATGCACACTTCTTGCATTTAAAGATGGAATACCTTACATACTTTTTTCCCATGCTCTTTTCACTTAACACATCACTCCATAGAATTATAGAGTGACATTTTTTGTTCCTTTTACAACTGCAAGGTACTTTATTACGAGCTTATGCCACATTTTTTTGTTGTAGAAACAAGCATAATATAAAATTTACCAGCTAAACCATTTTTTAGTATACAGTTCAGTATTGTTAAGTATATTCATATTGTTGTGAAACCAATCTCCAGAAATTTTTATGTGTATAGCTGAAACTCTGAACTCTTTAAACAGCAACCCTCTCTCCTCTCTCACCTCGTCCCATGGTAACGAGTACTCTACTTCCTGGTTCTCTGAAGTTGGTTACATTAGATATCTCGTGTACGTGGGTTCACTGTGGCTGGCTTATTTCACTTTAAAGAAAGTCTTCAGAGTTCATCCATGTTGTAGCATCTAAGAGGATTTTCTTCCATTCTAAGGCTGAATAATATTCCATCATATGTATATGTATATATGTGTGCCACATTTTGTTTATTCGTTTATCTATCAGTAGAAACTTGAGTTGTTTCTACCTCTTGTTTACTATGAATAATGCTGCTGTGAGCATGAATGTACAAATATCTCTGAGATCCTGCTTTCAGTTATTTTGGATATATACTCAAAAGTGAAATTGGTGGATCACATAGTAGTTCTATTTTTAGTTTTTGAAGAGCCACCATACTGTTTCTTGTAGTGGTTAGACCATATTACAGTTCCATCAATGGTGCACAAAGATTGCAGCTTTTCCACATTTTCACCAACACTTGTTATTTTCTGTTTGTTTTTGGATAGTAGCCATCCTAATTGGTGTGAGGTGATACCTTATTTTGGTTTTGGTTAGCATTTCTTTGATGATTAGTGATTGAATCTTTTCTTATGCTTGTTGGTTATTTGTACATTGTCTTGAATATGTCTATTCAAGTCCTTTGCCCATGTTTTGATTGGGTTATTTGATTTTGTTTTGTTGAATCATAGTTCTTTATTTCCCTGGATATTAATTCCTTATCAGAGCTATGATTTGCAAATATTTTGTCCCATTCCATAGGTTCCTTTTTAAGTCTGTTGATTGTGTCCTATGATGCATAAGTTCGTCATAGTCTCATTTGTCTATTTTTTGCTCTTGTTGCCTGTGCTTTTGGTATTATAGCTAAGAAATCACTGCAAACCCAATGCCAGGAAACCTTTCTCCTATGTTTTCTTTTAGGAGTGTTATAGTTTTGAGTCTTAAGTTTATGAATTTAATGCATTTTGAGTTAATTTTTATATGTGGTGTAAGATAAGGGTCTACCTTCATTTTTCTGCATATGACTATCCAGTTTCCTTAGCATAATTTATTGATGGGACTAGCTTTTTTTCAGTCAGTGGTGTTGGCATCCTTGTTGAAGATCATTTGATCATATACATAATAGTTTATTTCTGGGCTCTGTCTTCTATTCTTTTGACCTGTATGTCTGACTTTATTTCAATACCACACACTTTTCATTACTATAGCTTTGTAATACAGTTCGAAGCCAGGAACAAAACCCTACAACTTTTTTTCACATTTTTTCTGGCTATTCAGGAGTCACTTGAGATTCCATATGAATTTTAGGATGATTTTTCTATTTCTTTTTTTGTGTCAGAGTCTCACCCTGTTGCCCAGGCTGGAGTGCAGTGGCACGCTCATGGTCATTGCAGCCTTGACCTGCTGGGCTTAGGTGATCCTTCTGCCTCAGCCTTCCAAGTAGCTGTACCCTACAAGTATACACCACCATGACCGGCTAATTTTTTAATTTACTGTAGAGACAAGGTCTCACCAAGTTGCCCAGGCTGGCTGGTCTCAGACCCCAATCCTCTTGCCTCTGCCCCGCAAGTACTGGGATTCCAGGCATGAGCCACTGTGCACGGCTGATTTTTCTATTTCTTCAAAAACTGTGGTTGGGATTTTGATGGAGGTTGTTGTTTTGGGTACTACTGACATCTTAACAGTATTAAGTCTTTCAATCCATGAACATGCAATGTCTTTATTTTAGCAATGTTTTATAGTTTTTAGTGTACAAGTATTTCACCTTTTGGTAAGGGTTATTCTTAAGTATTTTATTCTTTTTGATGCTATTATAATTAGAATTGTTTTCTTAATTTCCTTTTTAGATTGTTTATTGTGTATAGGAATGCAACTGCCTTTTGTGTGTTGATTTTTTGTATCTTCCAACATTGATGAATTTATTTATTAGTTCTAACAGGTTGTTTTGTGGACTTAGCATTTTCTACATTTAAGATCATGACATCTGTGAAGAGAGATAATTTTGCTTCTTCTTTTCCGATTTAGATGGCTTTTTGTTCCCCTCTCCTAATTTTTTTCCTCTCTGACTGGGATATCCAGTACTAAGTTGACTAGGATGGTGAGAGAGGGTGGACATCTTTATCTTGTTCTTTATCTTAGAGGAAAAGCTTTCAGTTTTTCATCACTGAGTTTGATGTTAGCTGTGGGCTTTTCATATGTGGCCTATATTATGTTGAAATAGTTTCCTTCTATTCTAATTTGTTGAGTATTTTTGTTATGAAAGGGTATTGAATCTTGTCAAACACTTTTTCTCCATCAGTTGAATTGTGTGGTTTTTGTCTCTTACTCTATGTATTACCTTAATTGATATTAAATAATCCTTGCCTTCCAGGTATAAATCCCATTTTGTCATGGTGTATAATCCTTTTAATGTGTTGTTAAATTCAGTTTGCTGGTACTTTGTGGTTTCCTCCTGGTTGCACCTTGCTGTGTTGGGTAGGGAGAAGGGTAGGGATGAGTGCATGGAATGCCCTGAATTTTATTGCCCCTGTCACTGAAATCACTTTTTGCTTTTTACCTGGGTGCTGTAGCTTCTTAACTAGTCTGTAGCATTCTCATAAAGGTATTCTGGCCCATATGTTGTTTTATTTCTGAGGCTTAGGACTGGGCCTGAGATTTGAAGCCATCATATAGATGGTAATTAAAGCTCATGTAGTAAATAATGAGAATATGTAGAATGAGAAGGGGGCTTCATACAAACTGTCAAGAATACCAATATTTAAGAGGTGGATAAAAGGAAAATGAGAAGGAGTATCCAAAAAGGGAATAATACCAAACTAGGACAATTTTGTATCATAAAAGCCAAGAAAATAATATTCAAAGGAGTGAGCAAAATAACAATCATGGCTTCATCTCTTGGGCTCAGGTGATCATTCTGCCTCAGCCTCCTGATTAGCTGAGACTATAGTTGTGCCACCGTGCCCTGCTAACTTTTTGATTTTTTTATAAAGATGAGGTCTTGGTACTTACATGCCAAGAACTATTGTAAGGACTTTTGTGTGTGTGTGTGTGTGTGTGTGTGTGTGTGTGTGTGTGTGTGTGTGTGTGTGTGTGTGTATGTTTTTGAAGCCAGGGACTCACTCTGTCGCCCAGGTTGGAATGCAGTGGCACCATCACAGCTAACCACAGCCTCCACCTCTGTACCACCATGCCTGACTAATTTTTAGATTTTTTTGTAGAGACCATGTCTCACTATATTGTCTAAGCTGGTCTTGAACTCCTGGACTCAAGCAGTTCTCCTGTCTCAGCCTCTCAAAGCACTGGGATTACAGATGTGAGCCACTGCACCCGGCCTTTTATGTGTATTTTGGAAAATTAATCCTTACAAGAATTCTTTGTAAATGTTTTACTATTTTTATCTTCATTTTATGAGATGAGAGAAGTGAGGCAGAGAAGTCATGCAGATAGTAATATATACAAGTATGTTTATGACATTATTTGTAATATGAAAAAATCAGAAATTATCTAAAATCTATCAATTGGGGATTGTTTGAATTCTGGCTTATGGAATACAATGAAACCATTGCAAGAAAAAGGTTGGTCTGTATGTATTGAAAGGATTCCTTAATATACTGTTGAGAGAAAAACTTTAGTTGCAGTGTATGGGTATATAGGTTTATAGTTTTTTTTAAGTATATTTGTTTTCTTTATATTTGTTAGTCAATATGTGCATAAGAAAGTGTCCGGAGGAATATACATCAAATTGGTCATAGTGGATATTTCTGGGAATTTAACAGTAATTTTCATTTTTAATTAATTTAGCCCTCTTTTGACTTTTTTAGTACAGCATAAAGACACATTTAAAGATTCAATTGGGTTAGAAGATCTGAGAAAATTAAATAGGTGTATATATTTTGTTTTATTTATACAAAGTGGTCAGTTTTACTAAGAAAAGATTTAGCCTTGGGGAGGAATTTATCTTCTTGAGAAGATCAGACTCGGGATTTTGAGGAATACAATGCAGACTGCAGTGAGGAATAAATAGACGACATGGAAATAGCGAACAAAGTTGCTTGATTTATAAAAAGAAAAGTATAAATAAGTGCTATTACTTTCTAACTCCATATCAAATTTAAAAGATTAAAAAATTTTTAAATTCTAGGACAATAGAGTTCACATTGGACCAAAAATGGAAATTCGAGTTGTTACATTAGGATTAGATGGTGCTGGAAAAACTACTATTTTGTTTAAGTTAAAACAGGATGAGTTCATGCAGCCCATTCCAACAATTGGTAAGTATGAGTATCGAATTTTACCTTTGTGGACATTTATTTCATTTTATTTTAATTATTTTATTCTATTTTGTATTTTATTTATCTTAGCATCAAGGTCTCACTCTGACACTCAGGCTGGAGTGTGGCGGCACAATCATGGCGCCGCCTCCTGGGCTCAGGTGATCATTCTGCCTCAGCCTCCTGATTAGCTGGGGCTACACCGTGCCTTGCTTTTTGACTTTTTTATAAAGATGAGGTCTCAGCATGTTGTCTCGGCTAGTTTAAAACTCCTGGACTCAGACAGTCCTCCTACCTCGGCCTCCCAAAGTGCTGAGATGACAGGATGAGCCACTGTACCTGGCTCCTGCATGGACATTCTATAGACAAACCCTAGCTTGCAGCTGAGTTCTCATGGACTTATTTGATGCCGATCTGTCATAGTGGTGGACTCTTTTCTGACTCTCAGACACCATTTCAGATTTTTAAAAAGATGTGATTCAGTTGCTCTGGGATTGAAATGTGAATGGTGGAATAAGAAGAAAGAGTACGGGTGGGACACTGTGGGCATGAATGGAGGGTTGGTGGCCCCGGCTGAGGGTTAGGGGAGGGCAGAGTGGCGGGTACAGGGATTCCGTGGTCCTGAGGGTCCTGGTGGAGGTCAAGAGGGCTAGCATCTGCTAAAGGCATATACTCCCAGTGTAGGAGTAGGAATGGGTTTGATGAGGCTTCAGTAGATAGTGCTGCTTGAGTAATTTGTCAGTCACAATTATAAACGGGATGGGTTGCTTGTGCTTGATGTGTTGTTCATTGTAAATATAAATATAAAATAACTTTTTTTAAAACAGGTTTTAATGTGGAAACTGTAGAATATAAAAATCTAAAATTCACAATTTGGGATGTAGGTGGAAAACACAAATTAAGACCATTGTGGAAACATTATTACCTCAATACCCAAGGTAAGAGTCAAAAATGACATTTCAATTTTTTAGATTTTTAGGATGAGAGTTTTCAGTGGACTGATTTTGATTTAACTGTCAACGATGATATTTATGATTAAATATTTGACTATATATTTCAGTATTAGTGGCCAGCTCTTTATTTTTTTAAAAAATGGAGGTAGAAAGACTAGGAAGTGTATTTTTGGTTTATTCATGATAATCTGTTGGGAGCTGGCTGGGGAGGCCTGCCTGAGCATTAGGGTTTCAGGCGGGCTGCGGACCCTGAGACCACCAGGTTGCGTTCAGGAGCTGAAGGCCCATTCCCTCCTCCTTTCTTTGTTGTTTGGCATGACCCACTAGCAGGGACTTAGATGATCTAAGCATGAAGTTCTGAGAGTATGACAGGCATGGCTGACTCTAGGGATCCACTGTTCCCATTTCTCACAGACTGCGGTTTTGGCTTTAAACTTAACACAGTTCAAACTCAGGTCACATTTGGGAGCCTTATATATGATACAAGCTTCTTTTTAAGATTTAAAAGTATATTCGTAGAATTAGTATACACATTTAGAGAGCTATTTCCAGCTTTAGATGGTATAGATGATTATCTAGAGTTACCAGAAATGGCCCAGCACGAACTTTGGACTAGGCCACATTTCTAAGGGCCCAGCGTCCACTTTGGGCTGGGCTGCATTCTTTTAAACTGGTTCTTTAGTTACAATTAGTGTAAGTTTTTTCTACTTACAATAGAAACTGAATGTATTTTATTCATAGAAAGTATTGTAGAATAGGTCATGCTACGTCAGGGAATTATGTTAGTTCAAGCATGATCAAACATGATATTTTGAGGTTCTATAAGAATACAGCTAACTTTAGAAATTTCATTGTTCCCACTTTCTATTAATTGTGGTTTTGGCCTTAGTACATTCACAGTTTGTATTTGGGTTTTATTTTAGAAGCTTTATTACTGACGATCAGTTTTATATATTAGGATTAGGAATTAGAAACTTTTATAGAAATTAAGATAGATACATAGGATTTAAGAATAGCCATTTTGTTAAGAGATTATAATCAGTTGTTCCTGGAAACAGCCCAGCGTGATCTTTGGACTGGGCCACATTCTTTAGGAACTGGTTTGAGCTATAATTAAGAGTTTTTTATAGTATAGGTAAAATTAGCACAGAATAGAAAGGTATTAGGATTTAAGTCAGTCATTAGGTGTTGGGAATGCATAAGTGTTAGAAGTTATTGATTATTAGAACATTATGATGTTAGAATTGTTGTATTGTTTTGTGAGGAACATCAACCAAGCATAAGGAACAGTGAAATAATATTGGGATTGTCCTTCCTCATGCTTGAGGAAACACCTGGTGGGTGGGGGGATGCCCCTCATCCACCTGGCTTTGTGTTCACTTGAAAATCTTGTGATCTTGCCTGTGAAACTTTAGGATAAAAGGCTTACAGTTTGCCCCATTAAATTGGCTTCTGCACTAGACAGAGTCCAGTCTCTTTCTTTCTCCCCCTTTCTCTTTCTTTCTCTTTATTTCTCCAGAATAATCACAGACTCTGCCCCACCTTCCCGGGACCCTCTAAATCTCTCTGCAGGGGCTGGCCCCCCATCATGATCCATTATTACAAAATAAAAACCATACTTAGCTTAGACATATAGGTAGTTAAGAGTACTTACCTCTTGCTGTTCCTGCAGTTACTGGATATCATTAGTATCCATCTGAGTGTGATCGATGGCAATGTGGTAACACAGAGCTGAATTTGTGGTGTATGATTCTGCTGCTCGATTCAGTTACATTCAACACTTATCCCGTTATGATCTTTCAGTAGCCTCACTCACTCATTTCTCGTCACAAATAGTTGCTACCTCCAGAAGAACCTGCAGTAGCTTGCTTCTGACCACGCTGTGCAATGTCACATATGTTCCACATACATTTTATTCACATTTCAGCCCCATTTCAAACTTTCACCTTCTATGCCCCACCATGAAGTTTATGTTTATGCCACTTGTCCCTTATGTCATCCTGCTTTTCACTACAATGAGAGTAGATAGTTATTTTTACTTTGGGATTTTTGAAACTAAGTTTAGTATGAGCCATAATTAATAGAAAAAGTGGAATTTTGAGTATGTGGAATAGACAGAAGCCTGGGGATGTTTGTTTGAAGAGATAGTGATGTTTTTATTTTTGAAAGACTATCTTTTGGTAAAGGAAGCAGTCTTCAAAGATTAAGTAGTATCAGTAGGTAGATTATGAGAGGAACATTTTTATTCATTATGGGGAAAATATTAATATACAGAGCAATTTGTGTTAGATAGAGCAAGTGTTTCCTGTCACAGATGGGAAAACTAACCTTGAGAAGTTATACGGACTACTTGAGGTCATGTTAATTATTTGTAGGCACTTCTATATAAGGCAGCCTTCATATGAAAGTAATGATAGTAGACACACTCTAACCATAATATAATAATGAATGCATTAAATGTTTGATCCATTTACTGAAACTTAAGTGACTAATTGAATATTTTGGGGGGTTTTTTTGGGGGGTAGCCGTTGTGTTTGTTGTTGATAGCAGTCACAGAGACAGAATTAGTGAAGCACACAGTGAACTTGCAAAATTGTTAACAGAAAAAGAACTCCGAGATGCTTTGCTCCTGATTTTTGCTAACAAACAGGTAACACATTTTTATATCAGAATGTTGTTTATTTTGGTAGATTTTGCATTCTTTGTCATAGGCAGTTAAAAAGAGATTCTTCAAAAGAGAATCAATTCCACAAATATTTATAAAGTTTTTGCTGTGTATTTTGAGTACAATCTATGTGAAAAGTGCTTGGTACCTTGGCGGATATAAAAAAGAAGTAAGGTAGTTTAGGCATACGACAACCTCACACATATATGTGAACACATGTGAAATTCTAATGTAAAGAAAACTGCTAAGTAACTTCAATAATACTAAGTGTTAAGGGGAATTAGGAGAGAGTAGTAAAGGTGGCGCCTTTGTAAAATGTAGGATTTGAGTTGAAATTACGGAGAAGACTGAGTCAGTATGTGAAGGAAAGAACATCGCAGGCAGAGAAAAAAAATAGCTTGAGTGTTTTAAGGGAGCACCAAGCAGACCTATATGTGATGTGTAGGTAGAGGATGAAGAAGAGAATCTAGAATATCAGATGAGGCCATGCAGTGGAAGCCTTGACAGGTCTAGACTAGGAAATACAGGTTTTATTCTGTAATCAAAGGAAAACCATCAACATATTTTGGGATTAGTGTGTGGCAAGATTATACCAGTGTTTTCAGACTGGGAACCTAGGTAGAATGTGGAATGAATCGGGTTAAGGAATTAGCGACAGGGAGATGCAATAAATTGCTGAAATAATTCAAAGTGAGAGTTAACAAGAACCTGAATTAGAGGAATAACAAGGTGAAGATAGGTAGGTGGAAGAGAATTTATGGAGGTAGAATTGTTAGAATTATTGACTGGATGGAGGAATGAAGGAATGGGAATAGCTGAAAATTCCCGGATCTTGAGCCTAAGCTTCTAGAGGGATGAGAATGGTATTAAGTGAAGATGAGGTAGAAGTAGAATAGAAGTGGAGTGGAATAGATGCTCATAGGAGAGGAAGAGTAGGATGTAGAATAAAGAATTTTCCCCCTAATGAAAAAAAAAGCAAACTATTAAGAACATTTAACTTGTGATTAAAGACATAGACAAGAGAGATACAATTTTCTACTTTACAATTTTCATCAGATAAAGACGAAATGTTTCATAATCCTCAGAGATTCATATTGATTAAAAAATTGTGATGTGTATATCTTTCAGGATGTTGCTGGAGCATTGTCAGTAGAAGAAATCACTGAACTTCTCAGTCTTCATAAACTATGCTGTGGCCGTAGCTGGTATATTCAGGGCTGTGATGCTCGAAGTGGTATGGGACTGTATGAAGGTTTGGACTGGCTCTCACGGCAACTTGTGGCTGCTGGAGTACTGGATGTTGCCTGATTTAAATGCGACAGTTGTTTAAAGCTTGTGGCTAAGAGTTATTTTGCACATAATATGTTGTAAGAAGTTCTACATCCAAAGATGATAATTTAGGATGTGTATATAAAAGGAATCTTGGATTGGGAAGTCAGTACCTTCATTAATTCTTTAAAAAATTGTTTTGGGGCACAATTTAAACATCTAATTGAGCAGGTTAGATTGAATTAAGAGATTTCTTGAATATGCATTCTTTTAAAAACTACATTTGTTATTTAAGTTTTTCAGATTATCTGTGACCCATATATTGCAAAAGTAGTAGTCACAGAGAAAGGTAAGTGAAGGTTTATTCTTTCAGTGATAAAAGAATAGTCAACTGAGTGCCTAATGAAACCTGTGTGAAGCAAAAGAAGTATAGCTTCTTTAACCTGCCTTTTCACAGAATCTTGGCAGTATTTAGTTGTAGATATGGCAGCTGCTTAAGGAAATAAAATCCAAACTACATCTTTGAGTATTAGGATTACTTTACGTTTATGTTCAGTATAACATCTTTAATGCTAAGAACTATACGCTATAGAAAATTAATATTTTATACAGTGTTTTATTAAAACTTTCTCCTAAAGCATTTTGTATAAATACAGACAGAATGAAGTTATCTAAATAGGCCTGATAGTTAGGTTAGTAATAAGTTGAAGAATAATTAACAATACAATTGTAGAAGTCACTTGATCTTCACTTATGAAAGACCTATTTCCAGAACTGAACCTAGGCTTATTTTCTAGGTCAGAGCTCTAAATTGGTCCTTCTTTTGTTCAACATATTTAAACTACTTAGAAGTGTTTCTTTCTAAAATAATATTGCATCCTTTGTGGAAATGACTGTAGGGAAAATGTAGTAAGTTACACAGAGAACTAGCGTTGGCTACATAAAAGAGACTTAAGTAGAAAACTACCTTTACCTTAAGAGAAGTTGTTTAAACAGTGAAGAATGCGTATTACCTATTAAAATATTTCCCAAAATAAGTGAATTTATCTTGACAATAAAACATGATAAAGTCTCTTCATGACAAGGCCTTGATAAGTTATTTAAGAAGAAAAATATCTAAGAAGGAAAAGATATATTCAAAAAGTTTATATTAATTATTCAGTATTGTGAGTAAATAAAAATTTTGCGCTCTTTACTGTTTTCCACTTTTAAAGGATAATCTTATTATGAAAGCACGATTTACTATATTTAAATAGCTAGATTGAGATTTTGCATTTTTAAAAATGTTCTTGTAATTTCGAATGAAGTTAAATCTGAAATATTAGAATTGTTACAAGGACAGTAATGTATGATAACAAAGTGTGACTTTTAAGTGGCACTGTTTTGGTTCAGTCTTTTCAAATGTATTTTTGTTTGTTTAAAAACAAACTTTCAGAAAACAAAGCATTAAAAAAGCCCATCAGTATTATGGGCAATATGTAAATAAGTAAATATAATATTTTGTCCTTTATTTTACAAGTAAAAGGCCATGCTGTTACAAGTATAGTTTGTGTGCATAAGTAATACTTCTGAATTAAATTATTTAATATTTGACTGATGTTAATAACTGTGAAAAATAAACAAGGTATCGCATTTGCCTGTGAGCTCTTGAACTGTTTTCTCTACTAGGTAATTAAAAAGTGTAACACTAACATGTGAACTTGCTTCCCCTGTAAGTTAAGTTTATTCCATCAATTTTGGTAAACTTTGTAATTCACATCTTGGTACATAACTGAACACAGTTTAAAAATTGTGCTTAGTTCTGATCATAATGTATATATGATCATGTATATATGGTAATGTGTTTGTGTATTTTTTTTAAAGAAATGCTTTTCTCAGTCTTCTATTACTATTTGTGGTTGTATTCTTTCACTAACCATTAGTTAAGATTGTGTTAGTTTCCTTTGGGAAATGTCAAATTTAAGAATGAGAGAGATGTTTTAAATACAGTATATTAAGACTTGCCTCCTAGCTCTGAATTTCTGTACTAAGCTTAAATACTATTGTATGGTTATGTAAAGCAGGCTTGCCAAGTGTATATCCCTGGGTCTGTAATTTAGGAATGCTTTATAACCACCAGAGCCATTATTTGCACTACATATATGATCAGTATACACAACAATAAAATGTTAAAATCATCTTAAGGAAGTCCCATCATTATTCTAAAGTCTGTTTCTTGGACCATCTATCTAATATTATTGCTAGTAACCAATTTAAAAAGCCATAATTTGTGCTGTGGTTAAGAGAAGCAATAAAACAAAATGGGTGGGGATTGACTTGCCTGTCAAATCTGAGATGTCATTTATTTGATAAAGTCAAATTTTAGAAATAACATTCCATATTTGCAATGTAGGTCAGATTTACTTATTTATTTTTAATTTTTTTACTTTAAAGATGTGGGGTACAATTCAGGGTTAGGTATACAAATGTTCATTATGCAGGTAGCCTTGTCAATGAGGTCACATTTAAATAAGTAATACAAATGCAGTGTTTTGAAGGGGGAGCTAAAATTTTGCAATGAACAAAGTGAAGCTTTTAATTTTTATTGTTTTAAAAATTTTAAATTTAACCTTGTTTCATATGAGAGTACAGCATTTTAAATGACTTTTTAAAAAATGGCTTGGAAACTTAGCTGTAACTTATAAATTAATATTGCTAATGGAAAGGCCTTTTTATTTTTATTTTTTTTAAGTTTAGGTCTTACTCTGTTGCCCAGGCTGGAGTGCAATGTGCAGTTTTGACCTCCTGGACTCAGGAGATCTTCATACCTCAGTCACAAGTAGCTGGGACTACAGATGCGTGCCACCAAGCCTGGTACATTTAAAAAAAAATTTTTTTTTTGATAAAGATGAGGTCTCACTACGTTGCTCACGCTAGGCTCAAATTCCTGGTCTCAGATGACTTTTTATGTAGCATTGGGATACTTCTCCATTTGCAAAGTGGTAACAGGGAAGAAGAGAGCCATACTCTTCCCTCAAGGACTAATGAATCCGTATGAGACTGTATTTTGATAATTTAAAACATGCTTTAAAAAAGATATGGCAATAAATGTTTTTAGATCTGCCAATTAGGCTGTTTTTGACATGAATGGAAAAACTTATTAGTGAAATATGATCTCATTTTATTTATGTTTTTGAGTCACAGTCTCATCTGTCGCCCAGGCTGGAGTGCAGTGGCAGACTCAAGGCCACCACAGCCTCACCTGCTGGGCTTGGGCGATCCTTCTGCCTCAGCCTTCTAAGGATCTGGAACTATAGGCACAAGCCACCATGCTCAGCTAATATTTCTGATTTATTGTAGAGATGAGGTCTCACCAAGTTGACCAGTCTTGTCTCAAACCTGTGAACTCAGGCAATCCTCTCACCTCAGCCTCCCAATGTGCTGGAATTACAGGCCTGAGCCAATGCGCCCGATTTTCACTCACAGCAAAATAATGTTATCAGAGAGGGAATGAGGCATCATCACCACTTGGTGGCAGTATTACCAAAACTTTAGATTAAGTTTTTAGGAATGAATAAAGAGGTTAGTTGATAAACACCTAAATTAGGAAGAACAGGCAAATGTCGCAGTGAAACGTCACTTTAGGTCCAACTTTCAGTTCTTCTCTTAATAAAGAAGGGCACATTAGCTTAAAGTAGCATAATTTGGTATATTCTGCTATCTTACGAGTTATTGATAAAAAACAAATAAAGGAAATGATCCTCATGACCAATAGAAGGGAAAGGCTAAGCTTATATTTAAAGCTTAAGAACATAACTTCCTTAACTAGGTCTGTTGAGCATGTTCCTCCTACAAGCTTCTGGAAGAGTTTGTCTGGAGACTAGAAGCAGTGGGTGTTAGTAGTTACGAAGTAAGTTATAAGGGCAAGTGACGAGGAACTCAATATAAGACTGAGCTCATATTGTTACTGCTCCAACTTCTACTAATTTCCTCACTATTAGATATACAAATTTTTACATATACTCTTAATGGTATATTTACTAAAGTACAAGATGTACTATGACTTGAAGGCAGATAAAACTGTATAGCTACATTAGAAAAAGAATGTGAATATAGTAAATGAACCAATGTATAAAACCATTAATTCAGGTATTTGTTTATTCTGATTCTATTTGAAACAGTATTTTATGATTAAGGAATATAACACTTGATGAAAGGGACTTCCTATTTATTGAAGCTTTACTTACCACTGCTTACTACTTAACAATGATCAAAAGACAAAAATATTTGGCATGAAACAAAAGCCTTGTAAAAGAAAGGAAATGGTATATAATATCAAATCCTGGTATTTTTTCTTAGAGGAGAGATCTGATCTCTAAGCATAAGGGCAGAACATCTGAAAAAAAAATTTTCTTTTGAGATGGAGTCTCACTCTGTTGCCCAGGCTGGAGTGCAGTGGCACACTTACAGCCACCCCAGTGTCAACCTGCTGGGCTCTGGCGATCCTTCTGCCTCAGCCTTCCACGTAGCTGGAACTACAGGTGCACACTACTACGTTCGGCTAATTTTTGATTTATTGGAGAGATGAGGTCTCGCCAAGTTACTTGGGCTGGTCTCAAACCCGTTGGACTCGGGCAATCCACTCTCTTGGCCTCCCAAAGTGCTGGGATTACAGGCTGAGCCACCAACCCCAACTCTGACATGTTTTTAAAGTGTAAGGAAAAGATACATACTGTTTTAAGTAGTCCTTCCTCATTCACAGGGCATAATTCTACCACTGCCAGCAAATGCCTGAAACTTCTGTGAGTACCAAACCATATATATAAAATTTTGTTTTCCATACATACATACCTATGATAAAGTTTAATTTACAAATTAGTCACATTAAGAGATTAATAACTAATAAGATAGATTATAGCAATATACTGTAATTAAGGTTATGTGAGTATGGTATCTCTCAAAAATACCACTGTTCTAAACTCACCTGGTTTTGGGACTCTGGTTGAAAGTGAAATAGTGGAAAAATGTAATTATTTAATATTTTAGACTCATGATAAACTACCTATAATGACTGCTATTTGTCTGAGTTAAGTCCATTTCAATTTATTACCTCCCAGGATTAGAAATATTACAGGAAAAACTAGATACAGTTTTAAAAAAAATTACCTTTAATTAAAAGTATAAAAATACAATATTGTATCTCTGAGACATGATTTGTATGTTCAGAAAGTTCGAAGTTTCCTAATGTTGTGTTTAATACTACATTCTAATTGCAAACCTGCTGAAACATCTGATTTTACTTGACAGTAATATTTATGATGCTGACATCCTCATAGGGCTTATCTGTTTTGGGATTGACTTTGACGTTGGAGATCCTCTGCACAACTTCCATTCCTTTAGTCACTCGTCCAAATACTGTGTGCTTATTATCAAGCCACGGCTGTTTTGGAGGACAAATGAAGAATCTTGGTGAACTGAGATTTCTTAAAGTATACCCTCTGGGTAAGCAAATTAAAGGTTGTTTGAATTTATGCTTCACTTTATTATGTATTATTTATAAAGAAGAGATAATTTCTTAGCAATAAAATTCAGCAGCTTTTAAATTTTATTCTAGTCTATATGAAAAAATAGACATACAGTATAATGTTTAGCTAAATATATCTTTCAGACCAAAGGGAGCTAGAAGATGTTTCCTAAAGTTAAGTTACTTTGCATGGCTTAAAGAAATATGGGTAAGACTAAAAGTTCTCTGCAGGAATTTTGCTTGAACAATTAAGAGGCAGTTTGGAATAGTTTAAGCAGCACATGCTTCAGCATTAGACAGATAGGAAGTTCAAATGCTGCATCTGCTATTTACTTGACCTTTGGCAAGTTAATCATGCCTCACTGTTTCCCCCTCTGTTATTGAAAACTAAGGACAGATACCAGAAGTATTGTGAATACTATATGAGACCATGTGTCTGGCAGATAGTAGTTATAAATATGTTTCCTTTCTTCATTGCTTAGTGCTTAATTCCCCCCAAAAAGTGTATAACTTTTATTATTTTGTGGAACTGCAATAGACCTAGATGATCTAAAATGCTGCTGGGTATGGTAGCTCATGCCTGTAATTCTGCACTTTGAGAGGCCAAGGAGAGAGGATCACTGGAGCCCAGGAGTTCAAGACCAGCCTGGGCAACATAGTGAGACCTTGTCTCTATAAAAACAAACAAAAAAACAAAAATTAGCCGAGCATGGTGGTATGCACCCGTAGTCCCAGCTACTAGGCAGATTGAAGCAGAAGCATCACCTGTGCCCAGGAGGTTGAGGATATGAGGCTGTGAGGCTGTGAGCTGTGATCATGGCACTGCACTCTAGTCTGGATGAGAGTGAGACTCCAACTTAAAAAAAATTTTTTTTTTAAATCTAAAATGCCAATGATTTTGAGTTACATTCTGATTTCAGAGATATTAAGATGTGGGGGGAAAGGTCTTAAAATTGGGATTTCATATACTTTAATTTTTCCAAACCAAAGATGAGAAATAGGTCAGAGAGGTGAAGTAATTTGTTTTAGGTTGCACGATCAGTAGAGGCAGAGTTGATCTGAAATTCAAGTATTTTGAATCACAGTCCATTGTTCTTCTACTACAATGAAACTGTTGTTTTACCAAGTCTAAACTGATTTGTTACATAATTTTACATTTTCTTCTTTAAATTTTTATTTTTGTATCCTAGTAGATATAATAACTAACGCGGAGAATAATGCAGCTCTTCACTCTCTTAAATCATAACTTATGAATCTGTGGTTTTCAAACAATGATGTACTTACCGTTGGTACTACTGTTATGAAAAATTGGGATCCGTTAGTATTTGATCCAGCATTAGCCATGCTAAGCGTGTACGGTCTGTCATGCCGTAATGTTGAATGAAATTCGTCTTCAAATTCTCCTCCCCATATGCTTTCTCCTCCCATACCAGTACCTGTTGGATCTCCAGTCTGAATCATGAAGCCCTTAACAGAAAGCATACAAAAACACATCATACTGCCCTTTGCTATATATGTATGACTCAAAGTCTTATGTGGTTCTATCAAGAGTGCTTTGAATTCAGTGAAATATTAACTTCCTTAATTGTCACTCTACACAGTGATTTAATTAAACCCTTACACACTCAAATTTGGATGATATATTTCCATTGTTCAACCACCACCTTCTAGGCAATGATT